TTGGGCATTGGTTCAGGAAACAGCTTCAAAGGGATAGATTATGTTAGAAAGAAGCTATTTCTCACACTAGAACTTTCTCTCCCTTGATAACCAAGAACTCACGTTTTTCTATTCTTAGGGCTTTTTCTTTTCTTTCACACTCACCTCTATTCTCATGCAAATGTACCTTTGTATTTGACAAGAATGTTAGACAAACACCAAATTAAAGCATCAAAAGACTTGATGTTCCTTAAGGCAGTGAATATTTGCAATTGTGATACCTATTTGGAACTAGGCATAAAATACATGGTTTGAAGCCTTAGAATTTAGAATTCAAAATATTCTTTGTTTTTTTTCTCCAATGAATGAGCAAGATTTTTAACATATAAGTAATACTAATCTATATACAAATCAGTTGTATGTGGAGATTTCTTAAGAAAAAATTGTTATTAAAATAAGTATTTCTTGATTCTACAACTAACCCTGTTGTAAATACTTTACAACTTGTGTATATTTCTAAATGAACAAGGGAAGATAGTGGATCTAGACTTGCAAGTGTAGTATTAACTTTTATATTAACTGTTTAAGCAAAAATGTTGAATAATATTATAAATGTTGGCTTTCTCTACAGTATGCATAGAACTAGAAAATGTAGAACTAGAATTAGTAGTAATACTCCTAAATTTAGGACTAAAAATAACCACAAAGTGTCTCCATTAAAGTCAAGGTCAAAAACTAAACTCTAGCTGGTGCTAGTAGCTCATACCTGTAATCCTAGCATCTCAAGAGGCTGAGTTCTGAGGACTGCAGTTTGAAGTCAGCCCCAGCAGGAAAGTTCATTATTCCCTTATTTCCAATTACTCACTAAAAAGCTAGAATTGTAGATGGTAGAGAACTAGCATTGAACCAAACAGCTCCAAGACAGCACCCAGGCCCTGAGTTCAAGCCCTAGAGTTCAAGCCCTTGGACAGACATAAAATAAATAAATAAATAAATAAGCAAACTTCTAGGGAGAAGACACACAATTGTATGATTGCTTGGGGCATGGGTATCACCTGAATACTAATTTAAAAAAAAAAACATTCAGCTAGCTGAAAAATTGAGGAAGGATGAATATAGGTTACCTCCATAGTATCAACTACTGGAGAATATGACAATGAAGGCAACCTGCACCTCTTGCTTCCTCCTCCTTTCTCTGCAAACTCCACTGAGTTCCAACAGGATAGAACTCTGAAAACCATAAAGCACTGGATGGAGGGTCTCTGTCTGGAGGGTAAGAAACCCACACAGAAAAACAGAAGAGTTAACTCATTTGGGAAAGGGCAAACCTGGTGGCTTTCAGATACTGGTGACAACTCCCTGCAGCTGAGGGAAGGCAACAGGAAGGGGGTGGGGGAAAGACCCATTCCTGGGAAAAGACTCATGATTCAAGGCTGAGCTCACAATTGCCAGGACTGAAAAGACCACCCACACATCTAAGGCTCAGCCTTAATCAGAATACAAGAGACTATGTTTACCTCTCACCACCCAGTGTGAAGTGAAGAAGCTTCTAATAAATTGCAAATCCTAGCAAAATACTACAGAAAAAGGGATTGCCAAGCAATGAGAATGGGCAAGAAAACTTCTTTGAGACACAAAGGAAGGATCTAAAATTCAATTAAGCAAACATTGCTAGGATATAGGCCTACCCTAGAAACACTATATGAAATTCAAATCTGTGGTGCATGCAGAGTAACCATAGTAACAAGAACAAAACAATCAAAATAAGGAATGGGCCATTAACTAATTGTATGAGTACAAGTTATCTATTTAAGTTCTAACAGGAAAAAAGAAAGTAATGTTTATTGTCAAGTCTAAAACACAGCAACATTTGTTTATAGTGAACTTCACAACCTGTAGCAATATTTAGCAAAAAAAATTATGAGGCAAGAAAAAAGCTTGTATATTTTCAGACAACAGCCCAATCATCAGAAATCACTTCAACACTTTCTATAAAGTGACAGTAATTTACACATTATTGGTAAAAGTCTAAATTTACTAAATGTAATAGAATGGAAGACTCATAGACACATGTGCACAAATAGTATCCATGGATTTTTTTACAAAGATGCCAAGGTAATTCAACAAAGAAATACTAATCTTTCACAAAATCATACTAAAATTTGGATACTCATAAGGAAAATAAGGACTTCATATACTGATAAAAACATAAGTAGATGATAAGCCTAAATTTGAAATATGAAATTATGAAAGAAAACAAAAAAAACATTTAATGGACATGAATTTGGTGATGAATATTTAAGTATTATACAAAAAGCACAATCCATTAAAAATATACATGCATATATAAAACCATAGTAACATATAGAACTTGTCCTTTATGAAATATGAAGTAGTATTCAAAGAGAGGCATAGATTTAGGAACCATGTTTGTAAGTCACATATTTGTAAGTCACATACTTGTGAAAAGGCTTGTACTCAGAGCATGTAAAGTACTCTTAAACTCCAATAATATAATTTCAGTTTGAGGCAAGATCTGGACAGAAACTTTACCAAAGAAGATAAAAGATTCTGGAAACAGATGAAATGATTTTCACATTATTAGAGTTAGAGACTTGTGTCCCCCAATTTATATAGAAAGCCCTAATCTCCAATGTATTTAGAGAAAAGAAACTCTAAAAGGAGATATTAGTCTAAATAAAGTAATAGTGTGGTGCCCTAGTTCCTAATGGCAGCTAAGGCTGGAGGAAAAGTAGAGAGTTCCTCTGAATGTATACTGAGATGAGACCCTGAAAGATCAAAGTAAGAAAGAAGCCATCTATGAGCCAGCAAGAAAGGCCTCTCCATGTACCAATCTTGACAGCACCTTGATCTTGGATTTCTAGCCACCCCAATCTGTAGAATTCTATTATGATAGCTCTAGCAAGTTAATGCTGAGGCAAGTACAACTTACAATCAGCGAAATGCTACTACACAATACAGGAATGGCTAAAATAAAAACAGTAAACCTGACATGAGGTACTGTCAAGGAAATAAAACGGAGGGAAAGCAAAATGGAATAGCCAAGTGGGAAAAAGGTTGGCAGCTTCTTGCAAAGTTAAATACATACTCAGAGAATGATCCAGAAATGCCACTCCTTGGTAGTTTCTAAGCAAATAAAAATGTGCACATATGTAAACATCTCTATGAAAAACATTGATAGGAACTTTATTCACAATCACCCATAACAGAAAACTAGTATATTTCAACAGATGATAGCATGACCAAGGTGGATATTATCTTCTTGTCTTTCTATGAACAATTACCCAGAAATACAAGGGAGCTAACTATTGATTCACACAATGTCATGGAAAGAATATTAAATGTGTTTTGCTAATGAAAATATTCACAAAAGATTAACAGCTTGCATGACTTAGATCATACAATATATTGGAAGGCAAAATTATAGGGATGAAAATTAGTTTGGTGTTGCAAGGAGTTGGCAGAGCGGCCAAAGATGACAACAGAGGAGCAATACAAGCATATTGTTAACGAGATGGAATTGTCTGGCTGCACACCCTGAACTTGGCAGATGTACTCTGATCCCAAAGCTAAGGAGGATCAGGTCTGCTTTGTACCTGGATGGGAGAGCAATGGAATTGTTACATGTAATAATAGGTTTGTGGTTCTGGATTTTGTACACTTGGACCTTTTAGTGTGCCACAAATAAATAAACACCAGGAAACAGGAACTGAAGGATAGAGGATAAAGAGAGGAAATGGAGGAGAAGGCAATCATAAATTCAGTGCATACCTAACAAAATTAAACTGAGGGGAGGGTTAGGGTTAGAAGGGATGAGTGAGACTGATGGAATTTATAGACTGCTTTGTTTTCATAAACTGCTTTGTCAAATGGTAATTCCTTTGTACAACTACTTAAAGATAAGAAAAATATATACAGAGATGTAAAGTGAGGAGAAAGAGCAGGAACTTCCATCCCAAGGGACCCAGAGTTTTGTTCTCTACCCTTCAGGGAGCTTGGAAGCCACCTGGAGTAGTTTCCCATGGCTAAAGTAGCAAATTACCACAATGTGGATGGTTGACTATAACCTAACACTATGCTCTTATAGTTCTGGAGGACAAATAGCCAAAATCAAAATATTTTCAGGGCTGCACTCACTATAGAGGTGCTTGTTTGAACCTATCCGTGCCTGGTCTTGCTTGGCTTCCTTGACATGTAGCAGCATTTTCCATTGCTCTGTCTCTTTATATCATCTACTCTTTCATCTACCCACTTTGTGTGACTTCTATAAAGATACTCATCATTTGATTTAAGACCCATTTGGATTGACCCTAAATGGATATTCATGATTTGATCTCAAAATCCTGAACACAACTGCATTTATGAATAACATAACTTGCACAGATTTTCAAGATTCTGATATAAACATATCTATCCCACCTAATCAATACACCACCCTTGCAATGAATTTCTTGTTTCTTTTTAAAAATTTATTTTTGTTATTGTTTTTAAGAAGTTGTACAAGAGAGGGGCCATTTAACAAAGCAGATTATGAATATAACTTGATCAATGTCACCCCTTTCAACGTTCTCACTCATCCTTCCCCTACCCACCCCTGCCCTCACTCTTCTTAATTTTGTTAGGATATATCTTGGATTCTTGACTGCATTTCCCCCCTCTTTTCTTCATTTGTCTACCCCTTTCACCTTGATCTCAGACTTTCTTCTTTTGTTTCAACTAAGTAGTGCGAGTTTCTGTGAATTGCTATGGAAAGAGCTTAGTTTGATCGCTCTATGTCAGTGACAGCACTTATAAGTGACTTGTATCATTTAGAAACTAAGCCTGACTTCAGAAATTCTCCCCATTTTGTATTATGAAAATGGCATTGCATCAAGCTAAAAATGAAAGTTTCTCGGTTCAACCCCAGAGTTTCTCAGCAGGTTGCATAATAAAAGAACAGGGAAATTATGACAACAGCGACCCATTAATGTCCAATCAAATGAAAACAAGAGGAAACTAAGTGAAAAATAATTTGAAAACTTTAATAATGATGTTTACATAGTGAAACCATAAACTTTTAAATAAGGTACATTCAATTTCTCAGAGCATGTAATATTCAGATAATTTATGTTTTGTATACTTTTTAAAATGGAACAATTGACTAAATGATGCATGTTCTATACAATGATATTACAGCTTATACAGATAAAATTTATTATAAAAATACTCCACAAAGGAAAAATAGCAATACTTATTAGAAAATCCTACACACTTTCTATTAAAAATATATCTCTTTTATTTGTCACAATAATAAACACAATATATATATTTTTTCCTTTTGAAAATTAAGTCTTAATTTCTCTTTAAGATGTTAATATGTACAAACGTTATATCTGAATGAATATAAATAGCAATATGATAATAGTGTTACAGATATCTTAGTAAGTTTACAGAAAAAAAAATGGCTTTCTAATAAAAGCCACTAGCGTAGCTGAAATCTCAAAGCTATTTAAGTTAGATATTCCCCTATTTAGAAAGGTACAATGAAGTCTACATTTTATTTTTGTATTGTTATTATTTCCAGTTTAATTACTGAAGGCAGTATTAAAGAAAAAATATGGTCAGTAGATACTAAACCAGATCTGATAGTTGGTTCAACTATTTTGGATTTATTGACCTTTTGAAGGAGATACTTGTTTTTCTCCATTACATAGTTTCTTTTATGGCCTCGCAGCAAAAGTTGGTCTTTGGTGATGAGGCAGAAATCACTGCACTCCCTCGAGTGCCCGGGAAATGGTCCATTCATCCATCAGATCTGGCCCATCATCAGGAAATAGCCCAATGTCCACTTCCGGTTATAAGCAGCTTATTTTTACTGATTGCACCTGGTTCCCTATCATTTCTAGAAATAGCTTCTGATACAGTCTGTACATTGTGAAGCTGTGTAGGAACCTGATGGTCTTCCTCAGACTGTGGGTGACCGCTTTAGGCAAGTGGTATGCCTTCAAGTGCTTGAGTGCATGCATCAGGCCCTTCAAGGAGTCTTGGTCGCCATTTTTTATTCTCCACAAACTGAGCAGCTTCAGAAGCTGCTCGCTTGATTTGCACATCTTTCTTGTTCTTTCAATGTCTTCTACTCCAACTTTCTTCCCTGGCAAGCTTTCTATCAAGGTGCGAAGCTGCTCGAAGGTGAGGTTTGCGTGCCCAACGTGCCGCTGCACACCGTTTTCACAGAGGTCAATATCTGCGTGCAGAAAAGGAACAAAAGAGGCTCACACCATTTACATTCATTCGATGCCATCAGATAAAGCCGCTAGAGCAGAAGGCTTTCCTAGGACTTCTTCATTTCATGTTAAGACTAAAATTTCTGTCCTTCCTTTTTCCTTTCCTTTCTTTCACTCTCATCTCTCTCTCTTCCCTCTTTCCTTCTTTCTTTCAGTGGCATAAGTGACACTAGTTATTTCTGAGAATTAAGATGAATACTATTTGTGTGAGAAGAAGATAATACACTATATACTTTCTAGGCATCCGACAAAAGCTGTGTAAGAAACCTCTAATTTTGAGAGTTGACAGTAGAAAATTATAGATATCACTTTTAGTTTTCTAAGAAAAGTTTGAGACCTGAAAACCATGACATTTAATAAGAACAGAAATAAAGATTCAAGTTGGAAACTTTGTAAGATAAATCTTATTAGTCAACATCTGACATGGGCACTATTTGAAAAGAGTCACTTTAGGTAGTATCTAATAAATATACATAATTCTAGAGGAGTACCATTGTGAGGCATGTTTGCAGACTCAATAACAGGGGTCCAAGGAACTGGAGAATATACCTAGTCTAGAGGATATTTCAGCAATGAGTTTGAGCATAAACATAAGAAGGAGTAACTAACATTTCTATTAATGACATGAATCATTTACTATCTGTGAACCCTAAGGCAAGTCAGTTCATCTTTCTGGGCTGCAATGTCTGCATTTATAGTGCTGGGAATTTGGTCCTTTCAAAACTGATGGCTTGTGATGCTCTCTTTCCCTTTCTTTTTGCTTCAGGGCTAATTATAGGTTAAAAGAAAACTATTGTTTTGCAATTTTACATATATATATATATATATATATATATATATACACACACATACACACACAACACACACATACATATAGAAGAAAAGTTATTGTGTGTAAGTTCACTGTCAAAAGAGGTTTATCTTCTAAAACACCTTCATCTAGTCTTAAATGTTTGAGGTTTTCTGAATAGTGCTAAAAAAAACCTCAGTCTTTGAAACACGAGTGAAGAGCAGACTGAATTTCTCATTGGCACCGTCTCCTTAATTTTTCTGGTATGTCTTCCCTGAGGTGATAGAAGTCTGAACTCTTTCCATTATAGTGCATCCTAATACTTCTTAGTAATTCTCAGCACACATACTCCTAAAATCATAATTTTAATATAGCCTGTGGGGTGAAGATGAATGAGAGGATCCTGTCAGATACTTGGCACCTATCAGAAGGTAATCGACAAAGCATCAGCTATATGTATGCATATGTGTATATACACACATACATACATGCATATGTCTTTGGGTTGGAAATAGGAGTGAAAATCCAAAGTGGCTAAGGATCTTCTCCTATGTAGACCAGATGGAAGGCTAAGAAAAGAACCTTAAGCTGGAACAGATCCCTAAACTCTAGTCTTATGTTTGAACTACATCATTCTTCTTTTAGCATATCCAAAGCACTTTAAGGAGAAATTGGGAGAAGAGGTAGCATGGCTGCTACAGGAATTGCATGTACCTTATCATTAGGTGAAAAATTATTCAGACTAATGAAGACTCAGAAAGAGAAACAGCCACACAACCAAATACCCAGACACATAGTCTGCTTTATGACCAATGGGTGTCTTTTTGACTCCCATGTGAGTATGATGGACTGGTTTATTTGGGGTGCCCATACCTTGGATGATCTTCTTGACCATATCTTGGTCTTTGTTTTGAAGCTTCCATAACTTCAGCAGTTGAAAAGTTTGTTCTTGTGAGCTATGTCGTCGTTTTATCCTCGCCACGCTCTCCGCATTCACTTTGGTGCCAGGCAAATTGTCTACTAGTACACTGAGCCAATTAGGTGTAAACTTTGTAGGAACAGCAAACCTGAAGAACGCCTCCTCGCAAAGGGTGACATCTGAATGGAAGTGAGAACACAGGGAGACTTACTCAATAATCACATTTCTGGAAGTCTCTTGAACAAAGCATAAAAGAGGACAGTTGAGCTTTCTCAGATATGGTATGCTAACATACAAAGATGAAGCAAACAGCCTTCCTCCTATTGTGTGTTCTTAGTGGAAAAGACTTACAGGGATTATCTGATTTTTAATCTTCTTTTTTGGACTTGTTTTGATAGAAGAAATTTAATGAATGTTCAAGCAATATAAATAAATTATAGCTCAACGTTCTAAAATTCAATTATTAAATCTGTTAAAATTTGTGTAGTGCCCACAATGTACTTCGAGGTCAGTATCAAAAAAAAAAAAAAGAGAGAGAGAAACATAATCAGTGCCTATAAGGAACTTGCATAATAATCCAGAATAATCTATATTTTTGTACATATGCAAACATGTAGTAGTTTATCTGTGGAATCAAAGCAGGAGATAAATACTAATGTATTATGTTGGTATGTGTTAAGAACTGGGAGATCGAACTCGATGAGAGAATGCTTGCCTAGCAAGACACTGTGTGTGTGTGTGTGTGTGTGTGTGTGCGCAAATAATCCAGCATAAAACCCATTCAGTAGAGTGTGGAGGTTTGCCCAAGTGTTTGGGTAGGATCAGTATAGCTCACAGGTAGAAATGGTCTTTAAATTAATCAGATCTGGATTGAAATCCTGATTCTGCCATCCACAATTTATACAGACCCAAAGAAAACGTTGGAGCACTTTTATATTATTACTAAAGGTTGCATTTATCATAAGTTTATATCATTTCTACTTCTTAGATGTCAGTTGGTACATTCTTCAAAGTGCTAAAAATATACATACAGGGAAAATCCTCCTTCCGGGAAAATCCCTGAAGGAGCTGAGTTAGTAGTTATCCCTGGCTACAGTGCGGTTCACATATTGCTACTTCGCAGATTTTCACCTATTGCGGGGGTCTCTGGAATGTAGCTCTCATGTGATAGGTGAGGGATCATTGTTTACATATTAAAAACCAAAACAAAACCCGCAGTACAGTGAATCTGCAATCAGTGAACCGCGATATAGCAAGGGACGACCGCAACTTAAATTCTGTCCTTTGAGCTCTGCAAATTTTGGCTCACACAACAAACTTGACATGGCTCATGAGTAAGACTTGGTTTGAGCATGAGATGAAGAGAGAAAGTCAGGGTTGTGAGAAGATGAAAGCTTTTGGAGAGAGATTTGAGTTGTGACATTAGCAACTGTGAGCTAGTTGAGATTCAAGAAAGGGAAGATGTTAAGTTTGACTAAGAATGTGAACAGGGGCTGTTGTGTTCCTCTCAGACAGAAATGATATAGTACAATGCTACAAAGGCAGATAGTTAGGAACATAATTACCTATTCCACATTTTTGAGTTGATTCATTACTTCTGGAACATATATTGTCATGTGTTGCGTTTCCTTTCTGAGTCAGAGAGAGACCAAAGACACTGCAGTTTGTGTGTTTCCTACAGGGAGCTTTTGATGACGTCTCATTGGAGAAAAACCCATCTGGACATCTTTTGCAAACGGTATTTCGCTCTGGGGTTCCTATAGAAAATACCAAGCAATTTAGCACTTCTTTCTCAAATACTTTCATGGTAGATACACTCTTAGCACAGTTTTGGAAAGGCTTGGTTTTTACTGTTCCTATTCTCTTGCACAAAACTTGGGCATTTTCATTTTTCAGTTCATTAGACAGAGAGAACAAAATGTCTACAGTCAGCCCCTTAGGCAGTATCCCTTTCTTGTAATACAAATGCAAGTTTGTTTTGCTGTTACCTACAAAATGCTACTGAAATGTGAGAGGAAAAGAGAGAAGGGTGCTCATTAGTCCTGCCTCTGTTGGAGAGGCAGTAAGGCTTGTTGACAACTGTATTCTTCACACAATTATTCCTGGAAAACCATCAAGATAACTGCCATGTGTCTGCTGTAATACCATTCTTCAAAATCAGCACCCATTGAATGTAGCATCGTTAAATTCCAATCAGTTCCTGCTAAAGTTCTTTCTTTCCTGAATCCTAATTGTGAAGCAACTCATAAGCATGCTAACCTTGAGAAGTAAAAATTTACAACATTATAATAAAGTTTTGAAGGTGGCAATAAAGTTGGCTGCTGACTCAAAAGCGTAAGCCTGCTGTTAAGCTCCATAGTAAATGGGAGATGATATACCATTGGCTAAAACTATGAGTAAAGAACAGTCATTAAGACTTCAGGAAGGGTTACTGCAAGGACATTTTATCCCAAGGTATTTGACAAATTTGAAAACATCACTAGTAGGAAAACTTAAACCAGTCAGTAACTAAAAATCCTATTGAAAATAAGTATCTGGAAACACTTAACTCCATTCTACATGAATATGATCATACGTTGTAGTGTATTTGCATATGAAAATATCTCCATCTAGTGCAAGCTGCTTGAACAGATTTAGATGTGAACATTCAAATGTAGACTGCATGGGCCAATTCTTGCTTATCCAAGTTAACACATATAAAAGAGATAAGTGAAAGCTACTGAAAGTCATTTAAGTTTATTAATTAAAAATTTCAGCCTCCTACTTCATTATACCTTTTGCCAAAAGCCGAAAGAGAGAAGGAGAGAGAGGGGGGAGAGGGAAGAAGTGAAGTAGAGAAGAGAAGGAAGAGAAGGAAGGAAAGGGGAGGGAGGGAGGGAGGAGGAGAGAAAGAGGATGAAGGAGAAAAGAGCAAAATGGACTGGTTCTAGTTTCATTTCCTATCTCTTTCTTTTCTAGAAACCTGATGATTCATTGACCTGACAAACTGACAAAGAAGTAACAGAAAATAAAAGGGTGGGGTGTGTAAACCACAGCCTGAAACCTTCACATATCGAATGCTATTTCTAGCATTGTAGTGATCTTATCTTAGGAAATACCTCACAAAGCCAAGAGGGTTTTTTGTTTTCCTTTGTTAAAAATGGACTTTCTTACTACCTCTCTTTCCTTAAATGGAATCCACCTCTGTACTAAACTCTATAATGTAAGCAGAGATATTTGGGCTGGATCTCATGACTTTTGCTGTTTATTTATCGGGAGGAAATAATGTGGACATGTGGAGTCAAGTGACTTGTTTGTCAGCTGCTGTATGTTCCTCACACTCTTCATTCTGTGGCTAGCAGGTCACATGCACTCTAACTACATATCTGTTATGTGTCAGTGTTTTAGAAAAGTTCTCCTTTAAAGCTCTTTAACAAAAGAAATTCAAGAATGAGAAGACTAAAATTTCATTGTATGTTTGGAGTTCTAATCTAATGGCCTTCTGCACAGGACTTAGCTTTTTATTACCGTTAGAACTTTTTATGTAAGAAAAGATGGATGGACCTGGTAAAAAGTGATGCTAAATTAAATGTCAGCCCCAGAAAGACAAAGGACACGTGTTTTCTCTCAGATGTGGAAGCTAGAACAAATTTATAATTATACAAGTATACCCATCAGGGTTGTAGGCAAGTGTGGCTCAAATGTAGTAACCAAAATATGGTATTCTCAGGGAAGCATTCAAATGGTGTAATTCTTTAGAAAGACTAACTCAAAGTCCAACAAAATGAATGCCAGAAAGCATGCACTTGAAAGGTATAGAATAAGGTCAAGGGAGGGAGTAGACAAATGAAGAGAGGATGGAAGGAGGGAGGAGGAAATGATAAAGTCAATGCATGTCCTACAAAATGGAGAAAATCCAGGGGAGAGATAGGATCAGGAGGGATGAGGGAGAAGGATGGAAGAGGTGACATCAATCACGATGCACTGTATTCATACAGTGATTTGTTGAATGGAAACTCCTTTGTACTAGTTAAGTATAATAAAAAAAATTGTAAAAAGATTCATTCATCCAAGAAATGATTTGGCCTTATCAGTATCCGTGAAAATATTAGAATTACAATCTAGCAGGCAAAAATCTGAACTACTTTAATGATAAGAGGAATTTGTCTTTATACTTCTAATTTTTTATGCTTCTGTAGGAAGCAGAGGGCTAGCTAGTAGAAGCATTGAAAACAAAACAAAATAGAAAAGCCCCACAAAACCAAGCAAAAATAATGTGACTTCAAAACAAAAACAACAACAAAATGGTTGTTAAATACATTTTTTGAGTAACAGCACATAACATTTCCTTCTGTTTGGGCTGGAAACCTCTTATTTTCCATGAGGAACCTCCTTGTGAGTTTTGGGGAGGAAGAAGTAAGTAAGTCTGACTGAAGTGCCTTTGTTCTCAGCTTCCTGCTACAAAAGGGTTGTCATATCTACTAGGAAAACATCCTTGCTCACTCTTCCCATTATTTATGTTTACTCTAACTTCTAAGCTGCATAGTCTATGTTTAATGTGTGGGCATATACTACATACTCCATTCGAGTACATGGATTTGGTTTTGTTGAATGGGCTTTTCTCCTCCATAAGAGTTTTCTTAGCATTTGAGTCCCAAAGTACCAATCAATAAAAAGTAGGAATGTCACAATTCCTCTCTCCAAAGTTTTTACTTAAGACATTTTCGAAGGCTTTTCCATGCAGTTGGTAACTTATGTGATTAATACTTTAAGATTCTCTACTTAGGAAGATGAATAGATTTATTTCTCTCTTTTTTTTGTCCTTTGATTTTGGAGAGTGGGTCTTAAGAGGTCCAGACTGGCCTTGAACTCGGGACCTTCTTACCTGTGTCTCCTGAGTTGCTGGGATTACAGGTTTGTGCCACCACACTTAGCACTCTCTTTTTGTTTGTTTGTTTTTTACTATTAGACTTAGTTTTAAAAGTCAAATCCTGTTCTGTCTTTCCCAAGGAACTGTTGATGACACTTTTGATACCTAATTTACTTTTTCTGGTCATCTATTTGTTTCAGTTTTTTGATACAGGGTCTTACTATGCAATTTAGGCTGGCCTCAAATTTGCAGTTCTCCAACCTCAGCTCCTGGGATTATAAGAGTATGCCACCATGCCAAACTTTAATTATTTATATGTTTCTTTTAGACCTAAGAACTTATCTAGTAATTAAGACTGTTTATTATAACTTTTGAAAGATAAAATAGTGACAAACACTGGTCACATACTATGTGAGTAGCTCTTAACAAGGGAAGATCTTGAGAACATTTGACAATGTCTAGAGACATTTTTGGTGACCACCATGGAGATGGAAGGAGGGCTAGCGGCTGGGGATGAATATCCCACACTCCACAGGACAGTTGCCCCCCCCACAAAAAATTATGTCAATCAAATGTGCTGCCATTGAGAAACATTACTCCCAAGTGAACAATGAGAATGTCCAGCCGGCGATCACTCCTTTTCTAAGCTAAAGAAATAATTCTTAATGTTTCCAAGCCAGGAGACATTACATTTTATACTGCAGCTTTGTGAATGTCAGAGAAAATGACAGCCTTAAAGGATGCACTGTGCATTGGCCCTCATCTGTGCTGTTGGGAATGCAAAGAGAGAAAGTGTGTTGTTTATAGACAAGGCCACCCTCTTGCCTTGGACAATCTGTTTTGTCTAAGATAAACAATCATCTCGTTGGAGGGACTGTTACAGTGTGTCTCCTCCCAGACACTAATTCCCGTGCCAAAGGAAGAACTAGTTCATTTTTAATAATGAAATATATTTCCCTCACCATTCTCATTTTTTAAACATAATTAATTATAACCGCTCATTGTTAGCACTCCAGAGACTCATTAAGATCAGCATAATTGCTCTCTTGGTATCAATTAAGATTTCTGATGTTTGTCAAAAAGTCTGAAACAGTCCATGGTGAAGTGAAATGTCGAGGTATAGATCAGCTATGAATGATGCAACTTGAAAGTGTGTTCCTTTAATTAAAAAAAATAGAAAGAAAGAAAAGAGCAATCCATCATGCATCTCATTAGAGAGCAATTTGTTGCATTTGAGATTCTTCACTAAATTACCCTGTAGCAGGACACAAAGTATTCCTCTGAGAACGGTCCTTTGGATGCAACCCAGCCACACAACACATACCCAACAGATCTCGTTAACCTTTGCAATTTGCTCTCCTGTAAGGTCATTAGGACAAAAAGTTTCCCTGAAACGTTCACCCCTACGTGGCTTGGCACTGTCCCCATTGATTCTCACCATGTCTAGGAAGCAGATACATACCGGCCTGCACCACTCCAGAGCCGGGGGGACAGCTCCTGTGCTTCAGGCAGAACTCCAGCTCCAAGTAACGCCCTTCCTCGCACTCGCACACGCGGTTGTGGGTGCTATTGCACTCCTGCTTGACAGACTGCAGCTCCTTGCACACTGAGCTGCAGTACAGACACTCTTCGCTCGTGTGCCAGCGGTCTGTGTAGTAGTCATCAGGGCAAGGGATGCACATGGTCTCCCGACTCGCAGTGCAGTGCTCTTTTAGGTAGGTGCCTGGAGGACATTTGTCACACCTGAGCTGACGAGAAGTTTCTGGGTCATAATGAAGGTATTTTGGAGGAAAGGATTCTTGAGTGGTCCATTTCATGGAGATGTCCAGGAACTAGAAGGAGAAAGGAATGGCATTGGGAAATTGAGCTTGGCCATAGGGTTGGTCTTTGGTGCAAAGGCAACATTTAAGTGAAAAGTTCTCTCCCCACGGAAGCATAATCCGCCTCCTGTCTAGTGAGAGGTGTCATGAAGTGAGTTCAGAAGCCACACTTTTTTGCTTCCAGTGACACTTCTGTTTCAGGATTACCTCCAGATTAGTAAATGCATCTATTGCCATACTAAAATCATCTAGAATTCTTGTTAAAAATGGTGCATTTTGGTTGCATTGGTTTGGAGTTAGGCCTGAGGATAAAAAAAATTGTACAGTGGAGTGGTCTGACACACTCCTAAGTATTCATTCATTCATTTATGTGATGAATAGTTAATATGTGACCTCTATTCTCAACACCTGGAACAAAGTCCACATCAGAACCATAAGCAACTCTGCCCTCATGTAGTTTACAATCTGATTGGAGAAGACTGCATTGTGAATACATTATGTCAGAAGAAAAATATTGTTTAAAATCAGCAGATAATGGAGATAGACAAGATGGAGAGATTTTAATTTCTTTTCTCTAAGTATATAGTAATTGCACAAATGTATCTTATTGCAACTTACCATACATGCATATAAGGTACTTTGATCATATTCACCCCCTCAAATTATTCTTGTCCCTCACTTTTTCTTTCTTCTTTTACAATATGAATGGGTTTCATTATTCTATAATCTTCATATATGCATGAATACTTTGTTAATAATAATAATACTTCATTAATAATACTTCATTAATATTCACCCTTCCATCATCTCTCTCCTTTCTCCCTTTTCACTCCCACCCTCCATTTCTAGGTGGACTGGTCATAGAAACCACATTTTGCACTAGATGATATATATTTCTATTGACCTTCCTGTTCTTGGGCTTAGTAAAACACTAACAGTAAAAGGTTGGTGGCATAGAAATGAATCTAGTAAAAGTTATTCTTAACATTCATTCATTCATTGATTCAAGCAATGATTCATGCTCCTAGGAGTCAGGCACCAGCACATGCAGGTGAGTCAGGTAAAGTCATGGGCAACATGGTCCTACATCCCATTGGAAAGATCCCTAGAGTTTTTAGATTGACACTTTCTCTATCAACCGATGGCCTTTGACCCTAGGGAACAACAATCTCCACTCTGATAGGTAAGTTAAATGACTACCACTCTCGGGGTTCAATTACAGCAGAATTGCAGGAGGCCAGACAGTGTTTCAGAAGTTGCCATGTTTAAGGGCCTGAAGAGGTCTGAGGAGCAGGAGGAAGGTTTTGATCTCTGAGAATGTGTTTTGGACACTAGCTACTCATAGGTCTGAATCTTGTTTGCTAAATCTGCAAAAATCTTCTAGGGGACATTGAGGAAATTCTTTACACTAAGTACAGTAAGCATGCACAGAGGAAAACAGCATTGTTTGTGTGTAGTGGTTGGTTTGTTGATTTTTTATTGTTTGTCTTTTGGTCCATGGACCAACAATGACTATTTTTCAGGCTTTGGGAGGAAGTAAACTAAGGACAATATTGCTTCTTTGAAGAACTTAGGAAATGTTGCAGAAAGCTCCTGATATGGGAGAGACATGCCAAACTAAAGAAGTAGCACTGCCTTTTGGAACTAGATATAGCAAAGAGAAAAACATAACCTTTTGATTAGCATTTATAGGTTTCAATCTAAGTAACTTCATTCATGTCCTATTGGACCATGGTAAATGGGTGTGCTGACCAATATGAATTAACAAATGAAAACCAAAGTACAAAACATTTCCTCAAGGGACATGGATATTTTAACAGAGAGTAATTTTCAAAGAGTACTTTGATGTAAGGGAGTCAACCAGAAAATAGGACAGAGTACAACGTTTGGTTACTTCGGTGGTCTTTCCAGATACTTCTTGACCTGAGAGCATCTGAGGAAACCATTTTCTTGAATTTCCCTGGGGCTTTCTACTGACTTGAAGAAGAAAAAAGCCCTAGGAAAGGACTGACTTGCTAGTTGCTCATTCAAATATGTTATGAGACATCTTTTAAGTCTTAGTTCAAGTATTTCTAAAAATCCTGTGTTGTAGAATGAGGTTTTCCTGACACAGTTTGTAAACCCTTATGAAAACAATGAGAAATACTTTCTTTCTCTGGTGGGAAATCTTGAAGGTTTCCTGAAAAGCCACTTTTGAGGGTTTAGTCTGCTTTCCTGAGCACTGCCTTAGAGTTGAGAGAGAGACCCTCGTATCTCACACACCACTGCCTTTAAAGTCACAACCTGATAGGTGGCAACCCTCAAATATGCCTCCATCCACTTTTCTTTCATTGATAGTGCTTATGTTCTTTGCTGGAAAGAACTACATAAATACTGATAGAGGTTGAGCATTTCCTAATCTTGAGACCCAAAATGGGAAATACCTCAAAATCCAAAACCTTCTGAGCATCAGACTAAGCATGTCTGAATTGGGATTTGGGGATTTGGGAACCTCAACTAGTAGAAATCTGTGCAAGTATTTCCAAATGCAAATCAATATGAAAGCTGAAATTCTTCTTGTCCTAAGCTTTTAAATAACGAATACTCAGCCTGTATAACCATGAATTCCAATACCATCTGTAATTTTCTAGGTAATTGACATGATACTGATGGCTTCCATGGTTGGAAATTTGGCTGACATTTTATTAAGATACATGAAAGTTGAAGTGAAAGGAGTCCACAGAGAAAAATAAATAGCTGAGCTCAATTCAAGAATTAGCGACTAATTAGTGAAGGCAATTTCTCAAAACTACCATAAGAAATTGTCATAGGCACTTTTAAAAATCAGAAAGCCTGGAGTAACTAACGAATTGTTTCAGCAAGTTCAACTGGACCTCTGTGTTTCATTTGAAAAATTTTCCACTTTGGTCAAGTGTCAGAACTCTATGTGGCCAAAATTGGATGTTCAAGCCTTAATCTTTGGTTAGCCCCAATTCCCACACAGGATTTCTGGAATCTGTTACTGGACAGAAGACTCGGCAAGATGAATAGAGCTCTTGATCTCAGTCCTTTCTATCACTTTCTTTCCCATTTCTTGAATTGGGAAAAAGATGTTATGAGAAAGATCAACTCAATACTTATTATAGCTCCTTTGCCAACTGATAATATTTAAAATCTAATGAAAATTTAAAACAAATTTCTGTGTAATGTAGAAATAATCACTGATAGAAGTTTGCAAAGAACGGGCACTTGTATAGATATGTTTTCCAAAGCTTCCTTTAGAAAATGTCACTCTTCTATGTTTTAGTGGATCTTTCTTTCTTTTTTCTTTTTTTTGTTGGTCATGGGCTTGAACTCTGGGCTTAGTCTTCAGCTCAAGGCGATTGCTCTACTGCTTGAGCCACAGCGCCACTTCCTCTTCTATGTTTTAAACCAGACTTATGAAGAAGAAGAATTAATAGGATTTTCTCTATGTTTTTTTGAGTTCTTCTCCTATTCTCTGCTTGTCCACTATTTGGTACTTGAAGGGAATCTAAAAGACCTCCAATTCAGTGCTTTCTACCCGTCCAGAATTTGTTCTTCAAGCACCCAAATCTCTTTCCTTGGAATCATAGCTAAGGTTGTATCACTAGTAGTTTTACTACTCCCCACTCCTTCCATTTTTAATGTTGGGCAGTGCTAAATGGTTTTCTACTTCAACCCATCTTTTTCTACCTATCAAATGTTAGCAGATGACGATAGTGGGAAATGGTGGATGGCCTGAATTACGCTTTTCCTTTGCCTTTTCTAGCTCTATCACAGTACTTTGTTTTGACAATTTATTTAGCCAATGAACTGGGAAACAAATGTCTTAGTCTTCCCTTCTGAGTTCTTGCTTCACTAGTGCCACCCCTTGGTATGCAGATTTTTTTAAAAAAAAACTCTTACTTTTCACCCATGCCTTCAATTCCCTTTTGCATCACAAGTGGTTGAACTACAGCATTCTCCTGGTTTATTCTTCTTCCCAAGGCAAAATGAAGTATATACTTCCTCTTTGGTCAAGTTTATTTTTCCATTATGCAATGCAGCCAATCCCATTCTCCTGGGCTCACTCTGGTATGCAGAACCATGAATGACCCAGTGGGTTTCCGTTTATGGAAGATTCATTAAAGGAACCCACGCAAAGCCTGAAATAGCCACTTGGTTTGGGAGTTCCTTTTGTAATCCCTCGTCATGATCTTTGCCACAGAGAACTATTTGAGAACTCTCCAGAGTTAGCTAAACTTCTGGTCAGTTTGTACACTGGGCCACATTCTAGTTTATCTTAGCCATGATTATATATTTATACATTATATATATGCATGCAGTAGCCATGGTAGATATTCTGGTGTTATGTACCTACTGTGGCACTTTCTAATAAATGCTTATAGAGTCAATGATAAAGTTTCTTAAGAATAGACTTTGTTCTTGTATGGGTTTATTTATTAGGGTCTTCTAATGCAGTTCCTCTCTTTTTATTTCCGTTCATTAAACAATTAGTTTATTCATTCATTCATTCACTAATCCAGCAAGAATGACTGGTGTTAGAACTGAGTAAGGTAAAACAATTGGTGGGCAGAAGAAAGGAGATGGAAGATCAATGAAAGACAAGAGAGAAACAGTTCAGAAATTATGAGAAGTAATGGGACAGCTGATTGCATTGGGAGGGCTTGATACTAGAAGCAGCAAATGAAGAACAGGCCTTTGAATTGTAAACACTAGGTATGTGATGTTGCCATTCATTTTGACAAAAGGAGAGCCAAAGTTGTAGAGAAAAGGACAGATTTGGGTGGTGACATCTTCAATCTGAGACTCAGTCCATGTGGTGATTCTTAGCAACCAGCTGGTTGAGAACTAAGGACAAAAATGCAGCTAAAGGCAAAATCTTCAGAGTTCTGAGCACATTATAAATGACTCTAGGAACGAGAGAGAGAGAGAGAGAGAGAGAGAGAGAGAGAGAGAGAGAGAGGATGGAGTAACCCAAAAACATTGCATTCAAGTTGAAAAGGATAAAA